GCAGTTACTATCACAAGGATACTGGCCATCAGCATGGTAACGAATATGTGTCATGAGAATTGGACAAAATCATTCCTGCCTTTGTGTCACTCCCAGGTGTAGTGGTTATGGCATAGATATACGACTGAGAGGGATTGGAGACTGGTCACGTGAGCGCATTACTACTACACTCACCATCCGCGTTTGTGTTAAGTATATTCATAGTCACGCCTTTTCTTTGACCTTGTGCTATTTCAATGGAGGAAGAGCAGAACCAACAGTACATTTTTGTGGGACTATTGTATTAGTTTGGAAGCTTAATACAGACAGGTAAGGTATTGAGCAGTTAGGTAAAGGTTTAAAGTAGTTGACTGGGTCCTTTATAAGTGCCTACAGATGTAGATACTGCAACAGTAGAGCCTAAAGGGTATTTTCCACTTGTTGACTTTGTGGGACTGAACCAGCTTACTAGAATCATGAATGGTTGTAAGACTTTCATTAATGGAGAGCTACTATGATGAAATATTTGGCAATGTCAGTTTTAAGTTGATGTAATATTTATTTTGGTATTTATAGGTCTGCAAATGGAAGGATAAAACTGAGGTTTTTGTTTAAAAGAATCATGAATATAGGAGATATGATGCTTCAAAGGCACTTATAGAACACAAATTTTAATTATCTGTCAATATCATTATCTAGTTGTAGTATTCAATGCTTATTTGTAGACCTTATAGCATTTGGAGTAGTTTCTTGAAAGGATCATGATAGCTGCCATTGTGAAGGGGTGTGACTTAAGGCAAACACGGATGGTAGGCACTAATTGTGCTAATTGCCAAGAGTCTCCAATCCCTCTAACAGTCGTATATCTATGCCAAAATGCTAATCCTTCTTTTGCAGTGCTGTTCTTCATGACAGGAGCTAATCTAAAACTTTTTTGCAGCTACAACAGGGGGTTCGTCCGAACCCTCCGAACCCCCCCTGGCTACGGGCCTGTTTAGGTTTTATTCTATGCATAAAACAAGTGGTTGGCTATGAATATTATGTGTGGCTACATCCTTCTCAAATTTCCCATAGCTGCTTCTATACTTCTGGTCAAACTCATTGGGATATACTATACGCAAGATCATGTGCTATCATCATTGATATACATGTACATGTACACCCACCTCCATCATTGTAAGTCTTAAAGGTTTCATTTTCTTTACGAGTTTCTAAAAGTAATCCAGAAGAATAATAAGAAACTCCAGCATCACCCATAAGCTGTCTAATAGTGTGATATTGAAACTAAATTTATAATGATAACTATATAAATATAGGATGAACTTAATTACAGTACCTTATTAAGGTCAAAAGACCGTCCCATTACTTTTAAATAGTCACTGTATTCAACTAAACGGCATCTCTCAATAGGAATATGAGGGGCTAATTTCATTAACTGATGGAAAATGTACAATAAATGAAAATAAATTAATCAGAATACTATAATAAACCTCATAGGCTTTATCCAGTACACTGGGTAGTAATTCATTTTTATTTACATTAAGGAATGCCTTCTTTAATTCACCAGTAACAGGATGATTACAAAATAACCAGAACTATAATGATAAAAGTATAAGTAGATTGTATGTACTTTGTCTCATTCTTACTAAACACATTTTTTTCCCAGATTTTTGTTCCTTTTCTCTCTGTTTCTTCTCCTCAATCTCTTTCAAATGATCTATTTGATCTATTCAAATATCAACAATCAAATGATGACACACATCATCAATAAACCTTTAATATCTTTTATAATCTTCTCTCTGCATTTTGTTAGAGTAATCAGTTTCATATTCATTAATGCTATCCTTTCTTGTAATTTCTCTATTATTCTTTTATTATGTACTAATGGCTGATAGTCTGGACTTGTCATTGCTTTAAGATGAAATTTGTAGTCATCAATTTCAAAAGTCATTCCTCTTATTACTCTGCTAGCAGCTTTAATTAATTAATTATATAATTATTAGTATAATTAATAAAACTACTCTAACCTGAATCAGTATTACTAGAAAGTGATCCCGTATACTCAATCTTCATTTTTGATGATTTGTCTGGCATATCTTTTATCTCATTAAACTGAGACCTCAATGCAGTCAACTCTTCATAAAGTGGTTCTTCCTATTAATAATTATTATAATTAATACAAACTAGTGAAATATACCTCAACTTCTCTAACTGATTCAGTATCACTTTGAACAAACAATAATAATTCTTCCTAATAATTATAAAATTCATATTAAAATAAAATATGTGATAAAAATGTGTTAAGAGTCATAAATTATTTGTTTATATGATGACAGTGCAATAATAACTAACCTCAGGTACAGTCATTGTTGATAATTCTTGTTTTAAAGTAGCTGTTTCCTATAATGTACAAAGAAAGATCATTTTACTTACATGCATAACTGAACAGCAACTATGCACATAGCACAATGTGGTGTACATTTAATAAATTTACAGAGCAAACATAAGAGGAACAGTTGCAAGTAGTGTGAACTTTCACTAGTCATTGCACAGTCTGGTATAGTATGACATACCTTCTCTTTGCTACTGATAGCATCTCTTAGCTACTATTCAGCATCTTCAAGTATAATATAAGAAAAAACCTGCAAAAACAACATTACATCATCTTGTAATAACGTAATGTTGATTCTTTTTAGCAATACATTACATATACA